ATGAATTTGTGAGTCCTACTTAATTCGTTATATAGCTTAACTATGTAATGCTTTGAGCGTTCTAGATCTGTCTTACCCTTATTGCTGAGACAAAATACTTGACTCTTACAAGGTAAAGGAGGATAGGATTATCTTGGATCACAGTTTGTGGAGGTTTTAGCACATAGTTGGCTGGCCACAAGGGAAGGCGGTATGGCAGGGGAGCACTGAGAGGAGAAACAGTCCATGGTAGGGCGAGCAGGAGGTGGCAGTGGCGGCAGCAGTGGCGGCGGTGGCAGCGGCAGGGCTTCCTTTAAATTCCATCGGGGATGCACCACACCCTGGGTGAGCCCGTCCATTCTCCACCCAGAACTATCCTAAACCAACTTAGGTACCACCCCCAACCCCTGTTCAGTACCCCAGATCCAGCTACCTCTGAGCACCTGAGGCTTTGGGGGGATATCTAGACACAAGACATGACAAGACCTAAGCAGTTTTCTCTCCCTCTCATAAAATGAGGTTGTCATGTATCTCATATTTTCCTGCTGCTATTTTAGTTTTGGGGATAACCAATCGATCCCCCCAGTATCCAATATTGGGCAACAGAGACCTTCCTCCATCCAGGTTACTGAGTGCTCTGTCACTGTTAGAGGTAGGGCCATAGTCTGGGAGAATCAGGGATCTAAAGAGGAAAGGGATTATTAGCCCGGCTTATTTTCTCACAGGAAGTGGAAAGCTTGGCAGTTGGGAAGAATTAGAGGGGTCTTAAGTGGGATTAGTGCCAGAAAAGAAAAAAAGGGAATCTCTGTAGCACAGAAGGACTGGTACATTCTTGGGATGTCTGTGAGTCAACATCCGTTCCTCGCCTAGTAGGTAGGTTTATTCACATGTAATCCAGAGGTGGGTTTACCTGTGCCTTCTCACTTAGTGTTCATGAAACCTGAAATCGCAGCATGCTGCACATTTGGCTTTTTCCATGGAAGCAACGAATGTAGAATTTAGTATTTAAAAAAAAATTACAGTTGTAACTTTTACATATTTGTGTAATAGTAGCTCATGAAATAAGTTTACAAGTGAGAAATTGTTTATTTTACAACTTTCTTTTTGTATATTCCTTTTTAAATATAAAATTAAAATTTGTTAAAATATATTACCTTAATAAAGTTTTTGTAACTAGTGTACTTATAATTTATTATTGCAATTATTTCCTTAAATTTTATACTATGATTATTATTTTATAACTTCAGAAGTTACTGCTTTTAATAGCTGTGTGATACTGTGTGTATGAACAAGACTTGAGCGCATCTTTGTGACTTGTATTCTAGGAAATGGCTTGCCAAAGGACATGCATTGTGCTTGCCTCTCACTTGTCATCTCATTCATAAAGCAGTGTCCTGTGTGTACAGGAAGCACGACAGGATGAAGTCTGACTCTGCAAAGGTGTTATAACTTGGAAAAGCAAAGCGTTAATAGACCAATATGACAGAAGGCTTGAGAGGAAGAGCAGAGAGCATAGCGATAGAAGCAGAACTTAACTCAGGAAAGCCTGAAGTCCTTTTAGCAACCTGGGCGCCTTTTCGTGGCCCTTGGTCTCCCTCTGCCTGGCTGGCCCTTTCCTTTCACTCTCCCCTTCCTTCACTCTGGCTTCACTGCCCTCAGATTCTCTGAGCCACTGTCCTGTCCCCAGTTTCGTCCCTGCTTTCTCCTCCCCCATCAAGTCCCCAGTCTCTGACATTTGCCTGGCTGATGCTCATCCCTTGTGGTCCCTGCCCTAGAGTCACCTCCTCAGAGGGGCTCTTTTCTGAGATGCTGCAGTTGTTAGCATCCCCACCCCCAGCTCCTCTCCTGCTTGGCTCTTCCTCGCTGTGTCTTCCCCCGGCTGGGCCGTCATGTTTCTACCTCTCACTTTATCATCCTTGGAGAGCAAATT